ATTATCATATAATACAATTCAAACAAATAATCTAATACAATTTTCCATTATCACAATTAAAACTACACAGAAAAAAATTAATAAAGCCTCATAATCTGGCATTTAATTCTAATAACATATTTGAGTATCCTCGCTATACAGTGTCTCAAAAAAAAGCACCTTCGTCGTCCGATAAAAAAATTGTTGGAATATTTATGAATATCCATTTGTTTTGCAGTGGCTGAGCTCGAGGGCGGCGCACACTCGGATGAAACGAACAGCGGAGGTGACAACAGTAACGCCGGAAGCGTGTCGGGCGGCACAGATGACGATCAGGCGCGTCTCCGTTTGAAAAGGAAGCTTCAAAGAAACCGCACGAGCTTCAGCAACGAGCAGATCGATGCTCTGGAGAAGGAGTTCGAGAGGACGCATTATCCGGATGTGTTCGCCAGGGAACGACTGGCCGGGAAGATCGGCCTACCGGAAGCTCGAATACAGGTGACTATAATTTTGCTATTAGTTTCTTGAGAAGTCAAATGCGGTGTTCGATAGTATAGCGAGGCTCGCTTAAACTTGGGAAGTTCGAGGCTCGCTTAAATCTGACAAGTTCAAGGCTCGCTAAAATGTGACAAGTTCGAGGCTCGCTTAAATCTGAGAAGTTCGAGGCTCGCTTAAATTTGGCAAGTTCGAGGGTCGTTTAAATTTGACAGGATCGAGGCTCTGCAGTGAAATTTACGCGAGCAGAGGAAAAGGAGTAAGATAACTGTTTTTAGGAACTGACTTGAGAACAGCCTGACAAAGGCAGAATCGATATAGTGAGTGGAAGTGGGATAAACAGTAGGTTGTAACTGAGGGTTGAGACACGGGACTTTAAAGCGATGCGAAGTGAAGGAAATTTCAGTTGAAGTCATGTTAAGATTACATTCTTAAATGCAGTACCGATGTATTGCTAAGATTGTGCTCATTAAAATGAGTACAAACACGATAGGAATCGGAGTAGTTTCTCGGTTTCATGGAAACGAGCCTTTAGTTTCGTTAATTATGTTGAGTTGGTTAAAGTAGTCCGATTCCTATCGTGTTTGGACTCATTTTAATCAGCACAACCTCAACAATCCATTAACACTGCATTTGAGAAGGTAACGTTAAAATTGCTACAATAAAAATTTCCTTCGCTGTATGTTCAATCTTATCTTCTCAATCATAGTACCGATGAATTACTGACATTTTTCTGATTAAAATGAGTCCAAACACGACGGGAATCTGTTTAGTTTGATCCATTTCATAAAAACGAACCTTAATTTCCTTAATTACATTAAATCAGTAAAACTAGTCCGATTCCCGTCGTGTTTGGGCTCGTTTCAATCAGCAAAATCTCAGCAATCCACTAGCACTACATTCAAGAATCCATGTCTAAACTTCCTTCACCCGAACTTTCTTTCTCAGTTCCAACCTACTATCCCAATCTCCATATCAATTCCGCCTTCATCATACTATGCCGCGTCAGTACCAGAAAAAAATAGCTTCCACTTCCTTCTCGCTAAAATTCCATGCAGTCACCCGAAATTATAAAATTTAACCGAGCATCGCTACCATACACCCCTAAAACCGCCGCAGAGAATCCTATCCTTAGAAACAAATATCGTTCATTTTCTTCTCGCTATTAGAATCTCACTATTAAAATTTTAAAATTTAACCGAGCATCGCTGCCATACACCCCTAAGCAACACCGCAGAAAATCCTATCCCTAGAAACAAATAGCTTCCACTTCCTTCTCGCTAAAATCCCAAGCAGTCACCCGAAATTTTAAAATTTAACCGAGCATCGCTACCATACGCCCCTCAGCAACGTTCCCAGACCGTTGACCGCATCAGGCGGGACCTGTAGCCTAGCGATTGACCTGTATCTTCGTCTGTCTTCTCGTTCACTAACTCAGGTCTGGTTTTCGAATCGGCGGGCGAAGTGGCGGCGCGAAGAGAAGTTGCGCACGCAACGGAGGGACAACCCGCAACACCAACAGCAGCCGCAGCAACAGCAGCAGCAGCCCTCGCAGCAGCAGCAGCAGCACAGCGCCGGGGTCACCCTGGTCGGCACCGGTCATCCCACGCCGCCCCCGACCTCCGGTATATTGGGCGGCCAACCGCCCCCGCAGGCCCCGCCCTCTCCGCCCAGGATACATCATGGTTTCGCGCCCACCGCCGTTTATCCCGGAATACCCAGCATGCCTGATTCGTACAGGTGAGACTCACGATTAAATCATCAGCGAACACGGAAACTGACCCCTTAACACGCTACCACTGGCCGTCACGTAGCTCGGGCTGTCAGTGTGGATTAACCTTTATCAGAGCTATGTGTATACAACCCTTAACAACGAGGGGAGGACCATATGTTGATTTTAATGTGATTTCTACCCCTTTGAAAATTGTGTCTAAGTGCAATTAACGAGAAAAATAATAAGTGCAATTTGATGGAATTTAGGGGTTGGAGGAAGATCATTAAAAGAGTATGAATGACAAAGATCATTAAAAAAAAATGTAGGAAATTTAGAGACATGAAGTAAAGGGATTATTTGATTATTGTTATTATAATTTATTATTTAATTATTTGATTATTTATTCGAAGTCATCAGGAAAAATGAAATCAGTTTTCTTATATAAAGAGTGTTTGCAAATGAGAAATCATGGTTTGGTTTTAGTTTGATATTTATTATAATGCATATATATTGCATTTTCAATTATTTGTGACAAAATTAATTATGGAAGAAATTATGAAATTATTTGTGGCAAACCTTGATTGTAATGAAGTGAGTTGAATATGAAGGGTAGTTATTTGTTGGTTTCAGAGATATTTGTAATTAAAGTTTCGTACCTCTTTGTATAGCTTGATTTTTAAATTAGGTTTTTTAAATATAATTGGAGGAGTGACGTAAGTGGTTGGACTGTAATCTTGAGGTCCTAGGTTCAATTCCCGTATTCTCTAAGAATAATTTTTTTAATTAATTTACAAGAATTAAAATTGGTGTCCTTCCCTTGTAAGTTGTAGTTTTTAGCAAATATGCAACAAGTCGTCATTATTTAAAGAAAATAACCATTCAAAGCAAATGTGCAATACATTATCACTATTCTAACATTTTTATTAAAAATGACAATATTTTATGAAGGATAATTACAAGTGTATTAATCCCAAATGCTTATTTAAAAGCTTTCAATATATAATATTCTTTTAAACAATCTTCAGCATGAAGGAATCGTTTTTTATTGCAAATTTTACAAAAGTATACTGTTTTTCTTTTTCCAAGCAACGATTGCAACGTACTAGTATCTGATAAGACGTCACTGCTAATCTCATCAATAAAATATAAATTGCAAAATTGACTTCAAAAAACTTGCTGCCATTATCGCTATCCAAATTCATAAAAATTCATAAAATTGTTGTTATTCACTTTTTAGAAGGAAAATAAGAAAATGTGGTTGAAAATGAAACTATTATACCACTCCACATGTTAAACACTCTGTCGGTAATGATGTACCGACATACTGTTACCGACACATACCATAGACTACTAATTCCAACATAATCTATTACCTGAAAACGCTTCTTTTTAAATATTTTATTTAATTTACAAAAATTCGTTAAAATTGCTCTGTCGGTAATAATATACCGATATAATATTACCGACACATACCATAGACCACTAATTCCAACATAATCTATTACGTGAAAACGCTTCTTTTTAAATATTTTATTTAATTTACAAAAATTCATTAAAATTGCTCTGTCGGTAATAATATACCGACATACTGTTACCGACACATACCATAGACTACTAATTCCAACATAATCTATTACCTGAAAACGCTTCTTTTTAAATATTTTATTTAATTTACATAAATTCATTAAAATTGCTTTGTCGGTAATAATATACCGATATAATATTACCGACACATACCATAGACCACTAATTCCAACATAATCTATTACTTGAAAATACTTCTTTTTAATTATTTTAATTAATTTACAAAAATTCATTAAAATTGCTCTGTCGGTAATAATATACCGAGGTGGAATAAAACTGCAGCGACAAAATACAGTGGAGACTCCAGTATCCGAACTAATAGGAAGACAAACTTGGAATTTTCGGATAATAGAATAATTACTTTCTTCTGCACGAACGTTAATTTATTTAAATAGAAATTAACATTATCGACGGTTGCTTTCAACATTTAAGTTTTCTATATTTTGTCAACCAATAAATTGCATAAATTTTTTATTTCAGTTGTGTAGAATTATATTCTTGTTGTGGCTGAAAACATTCAAGACACTTTTTAAATTGTTCAAATACTTCGACTTGAGAAGGCATGTCTGGAAATACTGTTTCTTACTTTAGACTGAATTGATATGATTGCATTTCACTTTATACATTTTATTTATTATTCTACTTGTAGATTATTGGATTATTTTATTATTTTATTTTTACATTATTTTATTATTTAACTTTTACACTATTTCATTATTTGTTTATTTCATTATTTTATTTTGACATTATTTTATTATTTCGTTATTTTACTTTGACATTATTTTATTATTCTATTATTTTACTTTTACATTATTTTATTATTTCATTATTTTACTTTTATATTATTTTATTATTCTATTATTTCACTGTTACATTATTTCATTATTTTAGTATTTCACATTATACATTTTACCGTCCAAGCACAGAAAAGTATTTATTTTATCTACATAGATTGTGTCGCCTATGAAAACATCGTTACAGATAGTTATCAATAACAAAACATATGGATAATAAAAACACCTTATATTACGGTATTCGGTAATCGCGATTCGCATACGGAGTTTCAACTTTACCGACTGTTATCACATCAGAAGTAACTTACCAGTAGGGGTTAACAGATTCCGTGTTACCATTCATGGTACATAAGGAAACAGTTTTTTATGAGACATCAACAAAAATATACATAAATAATATGAAAATATATCAAAAGTCAGCAAAAGTCTGAATGTTATTTAATCAATTGTTAACAATTATTTGTGAGTTTCCGACAGGAGAATGCTTTAGTTAATATTGCAATTAATAACGATTATTTGTTTGTTTATTATTAATTATATAATTAACAACGTTTAATGTTTTTAATAACATTAATATTAGTGTGTGGTAGTATTAGACGTAGAGTGTAATGAAAAAAATTTTAATTGTAATTGGTTTAAACTTAGCTTCTTAATTATAGCACCGATGGAATGCTGAGATTCTGGCGGTTAAAACGAGTCCAAACACGACAGGAATCGGACTAGTTTCCTGTTTTCACGGAAAGCAGCCCTTAATCTCGAAAATTTCATGAAATTCCTAAAACTAGTCCGATTTATATCGTGTTTGAGCTCGTTTTAATCAGCGCG